GACGGGGTCTGGGTCGAAGGATTCGTCGATCTCGGGCTCCATTGTTGCTGTTGGGGCGGTCATTGTTGTGGTGTTGGTGTGAATTGGACAAGGTCAATTCGTGACTCTTGTTCGCCCGAGATGTGTGGTTTGAGGTCGGGAAATTTTTGGATTGCGCCGGTGAGTCCTTACCCCACGGCGGGATGGACGTCAGCGCTTATCGATAAGAGTGCTGTAGCTCACCCTTGTCCGAGGTGGGGGACGACCTTCTTGTAGCTCCTTTCTTTGACTACACCTTCGTTCCCTCGGAGAAACACAAGTTGACCTGAGGTGCTTTAAGATCATGACTCTCCTTGCCAGTATTTGTTTCAATGTAAAACAAGACAAGAATCTGATGAACCCATCGGAGTGCACCAATCCTTAGATGGACGGAACTCAATTTGCCTGGGAACGACTTAGCTGGAGAACCATACCTCGATTCCACCAAAGTGGCTCTGTGACCAACAACAGCAGGAAAGAGCAGCAGCCGTTACATCGCCTTCGCATTTGGTTTATCACCAATGCTGCAGATTCAAACTCTCTGGAATATTGTAGGGACTCTCTGGAATATTGTAGGGACTCTCTGGAATATTGTAGGGCAGACTCAACACTATGGGGTCATCTGCCGCGTGAATGGTCTGAAGGACCTCTCTAGTCCCTACTCCCCGGCACGACACCTTGTGCTTCCAGTGCTGGACGTCCAAAATTGGACGTCAGTCACATTGGCTATGGATAACAGGTTCATACCCGTATCAGCCGGTGCATTGGCTTGTGACTTTATTGCAAGCACACCCTTGCTTTGCTGTCGAAGGTGTTGCGCTGATCTGTTGTGGTGAGGTTGGGTCGTGGCGACTGGACATAACGCGCCGGCCTTATGAGAGGGATGCAGTTCATGCAGTCTACTTCTCATGGGTTGAGCCCTACAAACGAATCAACGGGTTAAATCCTGACTTTTAGTTAATGGATAGCTCGCGATCCTTGGACAACTGGCAACGCTATGTCGCCATCTAAACTGGTTCGGGCTAATATTAAAGTAGCGCTGATGAGAGACACTAGCAACCACATGAAGACTTACACGCAACCCAGCTTCACGCTTCCTGATCTACTTTAAGATTCGAGTACAGCCCGTTGGGTGAACTTTGCAGAAATGTGACCCAGCATCATTATGACCTTGCATGGAAGCCATCGATAGCCCCAGATGGCGGCCGAAGTCCCAAACTCACTGAACTGGGTATCTTTCGTGACGGGCATTCTCTCCTTCGCCCTCACCACTCTCAACTTGATAGCCCTTTACGCCAACTTCGTTGCCACGATAAGATCTGCCCCAAACGAAATACGAGATTCTCTAGGAAACCTCAGACAACAACTCTGCGAAGAGCGACAAGCCCTCCGGCACCAGTCTCGAGAGATCCGCACAAAAACGAAGCTGCGCCAGCGCATCTTCAACCTGAGCGACAGAGACGCCAGCCACGAAGCCCGCTCAGCACTATCCTACGCGGAGCAGACGCTGCCCCTCCACTACCTCACCCTCCGCGACCTCTGGCGCACCTTCAAAGAGCTCGAGCGGCCGTTCCTAATCGCGAGCGGGTACCGCGCCGAGGCCATCCACAACGGTGCGTCGTGGGGCGAGGCGGATCTCGACGAGAAGGTCCGGGACGATTTCGAGAAGCACGGGGAGCAAAATAGCTTCGCGGACTGGAGTGCTATTTACAAGTGCGACTTTGCGCACCGGTTTATTTGGTGGCAGATCAAGGATGATGTGAAGAAGCTCGGGGACGAGGTCATGCGGATCATGGCGAGGCGGACGGAAAGGGAGGTGACTTATACGCGCATGATGGTGAAGCAAATCTTCCAGGGTGATGGGCCAGCGCAGATTGTTGACGTCCGGCCTCCGCGACGGCCTCCTGGTGGAGAGGGTGGCGGCGGTGGAGGAGCCAGGAGGCGTATGAGTTGGGGATCTGGGCCTGTGAGGCGGAGTCCGATTCCGATGAGACGAAGTCCTGCTCCGGTCAGGAGAGCTCCTGTACCCGTCCCTGTGAGGACACCACATCACGATCGATCCAAGAAACACAACGAAAGAAGCTCGAGTTCTTCCTCCTCTACGAGCACCAGCAGCAACAGGGGCAATCAGGCGACGAGACGGGGGATGGATGTGCCGAGACGCAGTAATTCGGTAATCAGCGAGCATAGACACAGTCACCCAAAGAGCGACGCCGCTACTATTGGGAAACATCAGCGTCGTCCGAACCATCAGCCACAGGCGGGAAGTAGTCGATGGGAGCATTTTCGCGGCAGGCCTTCGCGGCAATATGATCTTAGGGAGTACTTTGAGGGTCGGGGGCGGGATCATTCGAGGATCATAGAGGTTATTCCAGAGAGTGAGATTGACTACTTTTCACCCCGGTCGCGGCACAAGAACGACGGGAAGTGAAGCGACTGCTTTCATAATTTAAGACAGCTTGAAGAAATCAATGTCTGTGTTCTTGAATTTGTCCCGCAGATAACAAGCTGGCTTTCAACTGAGCCGTGGACAAGATGGGGCGATAGGATCCAAGTGATCAAGGCTGACAGATAATTCCAGATGTCCGGTAATTTGAGATGGAGGGGCAATGATATAACCGCCACAGGCTGATTGGCTGATGTTTCTTGGTCTTTGCAGACGAAGACCACTCGGTGAATGTATTGTCAAGTCTATCATCTAAATCGTGCGATATCTCGCTAGTTTCTCATTGCCTCCAAGATACCTTGAGCATCCATTGTGGCAGTACAACTTTGTGATCGCGCTCAGAACCAGCCGCCTTATTTTCTTCATTCCCAGAGCTCAGTGTCCGTTTTGCGTCTTGAGCGCCCAACAGGCTCCTCCTAATGTCTTCGGCTCGCGCTGGGAGGTTGCATTTTCTCTCCGAGGGCATGGCCTGAATTCCGTGCGCCTGAATCCACAGTACAAGTTCGTAGAATGTCATCAATGTGAGATCGACTACGTCGGCTGGAAGCTGACTTCTTGATCTGAGATACGTCCTCTTGGCGGAATCGAAGGTCTTTCAGGGGCGGGACTGATCCCTTGGCACATGAATGTGCCCTCGGCTGCATTTGCTGCAGTGCTTCGACATGGCTAGGTAAGCGCCTGATGGCACTTCAAACAGGGGCTCCTCGTCTAGCAGACCAGTCGATGCATTCCTGCACTCCCCGCAGACGATGGGAATAGTCTCTAAATCGCCTTTCGAGATGTCCACATGCCTCCAGAACTCTTCATAGAGTTGGAGTCCAAGTCTCCCCATTTTGCTATTTTTGGAGCTCTTCGCGTACGACCTCGGACCGTTTATCAGCTGGTCCAGGGGGTCACAGATGTTGAGCCCGGCCCACGAATGAGGCTGGACTTCACAATCTGGAGGCAGCCTCAAAGCTTGCTCGCTCGGCGGCAGTGTCCGGAAGATGAGGGCGGCGTACTCTTCGAAAATGGTCAAGAGTAGCTGTTGTCGATCTTTTTCAGTCTCGGTGGCGGGCTGTCTTGGCAGCTGTGCAAACTTGAGCCAGGCATTGTGTGTTCTCCTCAGAACCCAAAAGGCCACATGGCTGGAGGGCAGCTTTTTATGGTCTCCGATGTTTCGCTCGGCTTAAGTCTCTGCTGGAAGCGAATTCGCTCTCTTGTGTGCTCTTTGATGCGTCTTTCGAGGAGCTGCGACTGGCCAGCATATATACCGGCAGTACCATTCTAGTTGCAGATAACATGAAGATACACTGCCCAAGGGCAAGAGCTATCGGTTGGATATTCGTACTTTTCACCCAAAGGTGAGATTCCAGACTGAATCTCTCACCCTGCAGCATGGCAAGGATTTCAGGGTTGATAGCTTCCAGTATCTTGGACCGAAGACGGCTAGGGCCTCCCGACTATTGTCAAGAGTCAGGCATCTGAAAATGTTTTGCGATTACTGTGACTAAGCCAACTTACGGACGATGATACCTGAGATCTTTGCGTCCATTTTCGTGGATGGCGATGATCCACAGCGTTCTTCGATAAGGTACTACTAGACCTGTCTGCCCAAAGACGCAAGTATTTGTACCCAACACGTCGTATGAGTGGCATCCTTAACACAGAAAGTACCGTCACCCAAGATATTGATGGGCGCAGGAATTGATTTGGTATAGCGGCAAGCCCGTGTTGTAGCATTTCGGGCTATTGCAGTCCTGGAACTATCAATATCTGGAGAAAGTCCTCTGTGGATGTAAGGTCAAGGTCTTAGGGCGGTCATTGAAACGACTGAGTAGACAATACAAGTCTGGATCATAAAAGTTAAGCCATGGCACCCGGCCTTAAGACCTCAATCTTTCTATTTCAAATCCGGCGGGTTGCCCTTCACTTCTGATGTTAGGTATAAATACGAGTTGCAGCCTGTGGGAGAATGAATGCACTGGAGAGCCAAAGTATTGTATATAAGTCTTCGTCATATGAGATCTAAGGAATTTGGGCTTGAAAACTGAGTGTCTGGGAGGCCCGTTTCAACGCTGAGAGTAAAGTGGAAGGAACATGTTGTCTTCACCGCGACAAAGGATCTTTCCCCTTACGCCGAAGCAGAGAGATGAATGTCTTTGTGCCGTTTAGAGTCGAATGGCCGGGGGTTAAGGGGGAAAGTAGTCTGAACTGCTTTGCATGAAGCTTAGATGGAACTATGGAACTTGTAGATTCTTTCTGGATATAGTTCAATCACAATAATACTCTAGACAGTAGAGAGGTTGAAAGAATGTCAGCAACAAGGGATAGGACTGGTGCCAGGGAGGTTCTCGTGTACTATATCACCCCAATACTGCGACGTTGAATGGGATGTACCTGGGTGCTCTTATGGGAAGTTTTCGGTACAGAGGAGAATCTGTCCCCCTATTTTGTTTTCGGCCATTTGAGTGCTAGCTTCTAACTTCAGTAGACCGAGCATCAAAAGTCCTTCATCATTTCTGAGCTACACTCCGGCTCCTGTACTCCTCAGCAATCAAGGCTTGTCTTGGAACTTCCCAAAACCCTCGTTGCCAGCAACAGCACTGTCATTCTCCCCAATATCCACAGACTTGACACCCGAATGCGCATTATCCGGCTCGCCAGTCGACTCTTCCTTGACCGCCTCCTTCGCCTTCTTCTTCTCCTCCCACTTGAAAGCAAAGTGAATCCCAACAAAAATGACGGCCGAAACCAATGCAAAGGCAAGATACAGCTTGGCGCCGATGCGCCAGTGTGGGGCCTCGGATGCCGGGAACGCGGCGATGGGGATGAAAGCGCTCATGATGTAGGCGAGGACAGTTCCGCTGGCGAAGAGGACGGTGCGCACCTCGGGCTCGCCTTGGAGGTGGGCTGATGCCCAGGAGCATAGCAGCATCGTGGAGACACTGAAGAGATTTAGAGTGGTAATCATGGGGCCTTGGTTCAGGTTTGACTTACGCTCCGATGTAGTTCATGTACCAGCCGGCCATATAGGCTTGTTGATTACTGGGTCTTATGATGAGGATGATCTGTGAAGTGATGTTGATGACCTGCGTGATATTAGCCAAGCAGGATGAAGTCTAAAGATTCAAGATAATTACCGAATGCAGAAGTAAGAATGGCAGTCGAACTCCAAAGTAGTCGCTGAGGCCACTGAAGAGCAGCTCTGCCACGAGTTGGACGGCTTGGCCGATGATGGGCAGGTAGTTGAGCATGGCAACAGAGCTGGAGGAACGATCAGCACGTTCTTTTAGTTCAAAGAGTAAGGCGAGTACTTACTATTTGACCGATCCATCTGCGTTCTTCAAAGACTTGAGCCACAAGTTGAAGTAACTGGCTGGCGTAAAATTACCGCCAATGGGCCACGCGACTGTGGTGCACAATGTCAGTATAGGTACTCGAGATTATTTCAATTCAGCACTCACTAGCAAATGCCCAAAGTTGCCAGAAGCTGAAACATCGCACGAAAGACTTGATCGTGATGCCAATTTGTGGCTTGCGACCGACCCTGCGAGCACGGGCGAGGGCAATCTCAATATGCTTCGGCTTCAAGTAGAACTTTGCCAGGGGATTTGGGCGTTCGGGCTTTTTCATCGGTTAGCAATACTGTTTTCGGTACCTCATGAGAATCCAATTAGGGGCTCGAAAGTACTCACGTAGCCGGGAAGAATGAAGAACGCAGCGAGAGCTACGGCTATGGTACAAACACCCTAGAAAGAGGTCAGACCAGTAGAACTGAGTGCCAGCTACAAGATTTCCGCTGTGACTTACATTGATGATGAATGCCCAGCGCCAGCCAGAACGTCCATGTAGACCCTCAAAATTTGTTGAAAGCGCCCCTTGCATCGCGCCCGAAAGCATCGCCCCGGCCGGCTGAGCAATGTTGTACAGACTCATGCGTAGGGCGACCTCGTGGGGCATGTACCACTGGCTAATGAGGGTAAAGTAGCCTGGCCAAGCTGTGCCCTCAAAGAAGCCGATGAGGAAACGAAGGCCGTAGACCTGGTTAGAAATCAGAGATGGTGTTTAGTGGCGGTGGTTCGGGATTGTGACGTTATACCTGTTTCGCGCTGGTGACAAGTGAGAGGCAGCAGGTGAGGATGCCCCAGATGAGCTATGATGTCAGTTAGTAAGCCGCTACTTGAGGGGCCTCTGTAAAAACTGACTTCACATGCTGGCAGCCATTTCGAGGGGCCAAAGTGGGATATGATGATGCATGAGGGATACAGCATAATCATGTACCCGATGCTGCACACAACATCTTTGTTAGAACGCCTCTATAATATAGAGTGGAAATCATTTGCTCACTTGAAGAATGTAGTAAAATAGTTGAGTTCATTCCCCAGAAGATTGAGGTCCTCCTTCATTCCTGACACATATGCATTGCTCTATAACACGTCGGGTCAGTACTTTCAGTTGCCAGACGGCATGAAAACGGATCTCATACGATATTTGTCTGATCAATGTATCTATCAAAGGGTGTTAGCTTTCAGTCTACTTGGCGGCAGCTCAGTTCACACTCACTTAAACATGTAACCCAAGAAACCAATTGTCAGGAAGAACAAGTCCAGGCGCCAAAGCTGTGCACCAGTTCAGTAACTGCGTTGGATATATATATCATGCCGGAAACCTACGAAAGCCCTCTCGTCTTTGGGATCAATATCATCCTTTGGATTGCTCGCGATCGGGGTAAGAACACCTTCGGATCCAGAGTTGATGCGACTTTGCTGGGCCGGTGGCAGCTGGGCCGCGACTGGGATTGGGGTTTGCTCTGGAACGCCCATATTGGTTCTCTTACAGTCGAATGACAAGCTGCAAAACCTTCACGTCTTTTTAGAAGCAGAGTCTACGAAAGCAAATCCCACTTCGCGTCAAGGATGAAATCTGACTATCACTTGCTGATGTACTTATACGAGCCATCAAGAATTTCCTGCGGCAAAGAGCCGCGAATCCTCCATGATGATATCAAAGTCAGAGGCGAAGACGTGCTCCGCGTGGTGTGGTGTGCTGGTGGAGCATGCCGACGACCTCGGACTGAAGGGGGTTGACTACGATTCACGACGTTGCATGCTATCCATAAAGGGTTCGAGGATTACACCTCAGCTCTGTATCTGTATTGTATGGAATTTGGCTCATTCGAGAGTCCTTCGTGGTTTTCAGTCGGAGACTGTCCGTCAGTCAAAGTAGCGCCGGCTATTTGTGCCGAAATCCAGAGGGGCGTTGCCGGCAACCTTGCGACATTGACAGGGGAGAAGACGTGATACGCCCAACGCAAACCACGGCCAGATAAGGACCGGCGACTCTCCACACACATGCCCCGTGGCCGCATTTTGTGGTTATTGGACATGTAGTTCTTCTGTCGCAATTCCACCGCAATGCATTACTCCTTGCGGCTTCTTGCATGTTCGTGTCGGCGAGAGCCCGACGCTCAAGGCTTAATGCGCGATCAAGCAAGTGTTCAGCTCGCAGGCCCTTCTACTAGCAACAAGGCGTCACGCCTGTGACTATTGGAAGACCTTTCACCTCCCTTGCCCTAATTGTCAGGAGGGGGTCTGTAAGGGGCTGTACGCTGAGTTGACAAGTTGACAGCGTAATAGCTCCCGGGTGGCCAAGTCTACCTCTCCCGCAAGCGTTGGAGTCTGTGACTGTCAAGTCTGAGGGGCTTTCGATGTCTTCAAAAATAGTCTGAACTGTCATTCGCTGAACTTGGCAGCAGAGTCGTGTTGCGAGTTTTGGCGGCCCGTGTTACTTCAAGAGAGGGCGGCAAACTTGACGTCGTTGATCCAGTGTTACCGCATCGACGTTGACTTTCAACTAAGCACGGCATCGGGAAAGAAAGCGAAGTGGTCATATCTTCATGAAAAGTAAGAATCTTGAGTAGAAGATGGCGAAGTTGGAGGCCTGCTTTCTTCGATCCAACACTCGAAGAAGAGTGGACCAGCTTCGACGGAGCGAAGTGGTGTGGTAGAGGCCCCTCCGATGCTTGGGCCTGGTACCGGGTTCATCTTTGAGGCGGGCTGAAGCGCGGGTTCAGAAGGAATCCAAGGTTGAGGGTGCTGTACCGAATGTCAGAACACATCAAGCTGGCAAGGAGTTAGGAGATGTGATGCCTACCCCTATCGGCGCGGGCGCTTCGTCTCGTAGTTCCACGGCCATGGTAAAGGTACATCCCTCTGGCAATGGCCCCTTCATCTCGGCAGCATAGGCTAGACGTCTGAGGGCTCCTCTGTACGCCTCGTTCACATCAACCCAGTTCACCGAGCCGTCATCGTCGTCTTCCTCACGTCGCTGGAACCTCTGTGCCTGGCCGAGCTTCTCCTTGCCCTTGCCCGTAGCCCAGACCGGGAAGTTGGTGACGTCAAAGACCCATCTCTCGACGACAGCCATTGTCTCTGCGGCATGAATAACAACACAGACTTTTGAGACGGTGCCAAGTGCAAGCTGGTCCTGTATCGCAGCCAGTGCCGAGTTGATCCATTCGCAGAGGGCTGGATGGCGGGACTGGGGTACTGGCAGGTTATGGGCTTTGGTCATGAGAAAGGTCTGTTGTGGGTAAAGGCGCCTGTAGTACAGTATCGTATGTATCGTGAGTGTGAGGAATGTTGTAAACGAAGTTAGGATAGTGTTTGCCTGCGGCCGTGGGATAGCCACTGGTGGTGCGGAAGCCGAGTCTGGTAGCCCAGAACTGGAAGACATGGCTTCTGATGAATCGATTAAGGAGGATCACGCTTTCCCGCTAGACGAATATTTCTTCGACGATAGATCGAGATAAGAGCTCAGTCTCGTACATACGAAGGTATGGGTTTCGGTGGAGCGCAGGGAAAGATAAGAGTCGCGGCGGTGATGGACGGAACGCGACGGGGAACGATGCGACCTCCACGCCATGTCACATGACTTAGTAATGCACGTGATATTGCCTGGCTTGTCTAGGCAGCAGGGAGGCCGCCGGCGATTGGTTGTGACGATGCGGGGCTGGTCCACTTGTAGGGCTGAAGGCAGCGAGTCTCTGACGCCACTCTGCGAACCCCTCCAACCCCCAGCTGCGACCCAAAGCTTGGGCTTAGCTCCCTCCTGTCCCCAGGACGTTTCTACACTTTGTCCATCGCTCAGCATCCGTCTGTGAAGCCCAACCCAAGATCAAACAACGAAGCCCAACACTGTCTAAGCCCCATTCACAGTCTACATAAGCGTTGAAGCTTCTCCCAAACCTCTCTTCGAACCTCACCATTTACAAACACAAAGACGTAGAGCTCAGAAATCAACCCCTCATCAGCACATCCCCGCCATGGCGAATCCACTCACCTCGCAGTCTGTGCTGCAACAAATGGCAGAAGCCCTGCCTACCCACCCCAAAGGCGACACCACCTCCGACATTAGCAGCGGCTATGAGCTCCCTGCCCTTCTTACGCATGCCTGCATGGCGTCCCTCAAGTTCCGTCTTCTGGGCTTTGACGAGGAGAAGAGGATAGGTATGGCAACTGTCCTTGATAACCGTGCTCCAGGACCCCAGTTAACACCCACCGCAGAAGAAGAAGTCCAAAGCCTCGCCCCGCGTCTACCAGCATCATGGAACGCCGGCTACGGCTCTCTCCGCTTTGTCTACGCCCACAAGCAGTCGTCCATGACGTCCATTATTCGAATTAGCAAAGTTGGCGGCAAAGTCGAGATCAGCGGGCTCGCCGTCGGCCACGATGTCATCCACAGATTTGAAATTACGACAAAGGACGTCATCAATAACGCAAAGCTGCCTTTGCGCATCACACTCACCGAGGACGGCTCCGAAGACAGGAGAGACCTAGTCGAGAAGCTCAAGGAAGCTTTCGCATCAGAGTCTGCCGTCACCAAGCTGATTGATCAGTTCAAGACGGAGATTATCCAAAAGCTCATTCCCAAGTTGCAAGTTGAAGGCTATGAAGAGTCACCTGACGACAGGGACGCAGCCGAGAACGCACAGAGAGAAGGCCGTGCCCAGGCCGGTCGTCCTGGACGGCCAGCACCCGGTGACCTGCCTGATCCCGCGCGCCCATACCCGGTCAATGATCCTCTCGCCCAGCCTCCCAGACGACCCATTCCTGCCGGAGACTTCCCACCGCCCGGATTTGAAGACGAGTATGAAATCAATAGACCCCCTCGCCCACTGGGGGTTCCCGGTCGATCACCCTACAATATTGGCCACGACGACCTCAACCCCCCTGGTCTTGGTCCCAATGACCCGCTGAGAGCATCTTTCATCGGTGGCGGCGGTCTCCCCCGACCTGGAGGCGGCGGCGGAATGCACCCGACATTTGATGACCCCCTTTTCGGAGGGCCGGGTGCCCAGGGAGGTGGCGGCTACGACCCCCAAGCACCGCCGGGTGCTAGATGGGACCCCCTGGGTCCCGGTGGTATGCCAAGACACGGCGGGGGACGCGGAAACCCCTTTGGAGGCTCTGGTGGGTTCGGGGGAGGGTTTGGTGGAGGCTTCGGAGGAGACATCATCTAACCAATGGCGCTTTCGGGAAGATTGATAATTCATTCAGTCTGTCTTGAGTAGCTGTAATTGTACGCCCGTAATGAGACATGACAAAATGACCAAATTTGAATCAATTCCCCTCTTCCATACTCCTTTCATTCAGTGATCATCTTGAACTATCGCCAATACGCTAGAGTCTATGCAGACAGTCCTAAAGACGCCTCGGGTGCGCCCAAATACGTCCACCGCAACTTCTGCACATCGTAACCCTCTACACACACGACCCTTTCCTCACCCGGCACCACATCGAACCCATTATCACTCAGCTTCATCCAGCGCTCTTCCTGAATGATAAACCCCTTGACCGGCCTCTCTGCAGAGACAACCAGCTTCCCATCCCTCACCTCCACACGCACCCTGCGGTCCGAAAAGTCGATATACTTCAACGGCTGCGGCCACGCCGTATCTTCCGCCACAGCATTCCCATCAACAAATAGCGTCGCATGGATAACGAACGGATCATCCTCCTCTGGATGAAATGGTACACTCGCATCCCCCAACTTCTCCCTCAAGGCCTCAATTTTATGCTTCTCAATAACCTCCGTTGTGGCGTTCCCCTCCGCAACAACCTTCTTCTCAATCCTGTCTCTAATCTCCTCACCCGTCTCAATAGAGATGAACCTCACCACAAGCTCCCCGGCAACAGCATCAGTCTTCGCACTCGCAATCCACACGTCAAACTCCGTGCCCCTCGCCGCGAGCGTCGGATCAGCATGACACTTCGTCCACTCGTCAACCCTCCTCCCAACCCCGACATCAACCCCCCTCAACGCCCTCCCAATCGCATAAAAAGCAGGCTTCCTCACAAGCCAGTAATCCACAATCGCCCAGCTCACCGTCGGCCAGCAATCATTCAGCTGCCACACCAGCGCGCCGCCGCACCCCCTCTTCCCGGGCGTGCCCCAATCCCGTCGCCAGGCCTTGTACGCGAAAGTCATGGTCTCGGCCTGCATCAGCTGCGTGAGGTAGGTGAACCACTCGAGGTCGTACCTCACGCGGAAGTTCTCGACAATGTACGTCATCATCCGCCGCTCGTGGTCGTAGGCTTTGTTGCGGAAGTCGAGAGCCATGGAGCCCGGGCGGCGCTGGGCGGTCGAGGTGAGCATTGCGGTGGTGGTGGTCAGGTGCGGGTAGCCTTCCATGCCGAACTCGGAGACGAAGCGGCCGGTCAAGAGGTGGGATTCTTGGTATTTGTTCATTGCGCCGTGCCAGACTGGTTCGGTTGTGTTGGTCATTTCGATCCGAGTTGTTCCACGAAAAAGGGGTAGGAAA